CATTTAAAATACCACAGGTAGCTTTGAAAATCAGCCATTACATCTGCTTCTCTTTGTCAGACTCAAGCCAGTTCTTCTCCATTTTGTACCTGTTTAATCCACCGAAGAGAACAGGGTTCACCATCATAAAGGGTGTCAGGGTTAGGCCCACTATACCTTAGCCGAGCTAGATCAGTCTCTATAGGCTCATTCAGCATGTTGGTTCTCCGTGATAACCTTCAGCTGTCCCCCGAATACGATGATGCCTTGATTGCTTCCAGCCGGTATTGGTTAAGCTGCCGTCGGTTTTAGTTACGCCGGGTGGTGGTCGGGATGTGTTTTTGTTACATGAGTCAGTCTTGCCACAAGCTATGTTGCATGTGACCTTCACGTCTCATCTTCTCTGCTTTCTAGAATTTCTTCGGTAGGATTTTAAAGGGTCTCACCTCTGCTTTCCTTGGCTCGGCTCCGGGGTTTCTCTGCTGAGGAAGCCAGCATTGCAGCTCTGTTCCTATGGTAACAAAGAATTGGATTTGCTCCTAATATTACTACCTGTAAAAATGCTTTCCATCCCGCATGTTTGTCTGGGACGCTCCCCTCCCAGGCTCTCCTGATGACGATCTCTTATAGCCCATAAAATTAAAAATCATGAGTCCCACGGAGCAGCCCGCGGCCAAGGGGTTGCCGTTTAAAATGTTTATTTGCCAACAGTTACCACATCACAGATCAACTATTTCCCATCCTCTGAGGAAGGAGATAGAGGCACATCTCAGCTAGGCAGTGTCCACATCTTCAGGGCTCCCTGTCTCTTCTGGATCCCTGCACAAATCCTATGATCAGCTCGTGTCTAACTGGAGGATGTTTATGGGGAAGAGCATATAGTCCATGAGGCAAGTGCAAGTCCAAGTTCATAGGCAGACAAGGTTCCTTGGGTGAATTTGATATCTTTTATTAGACCGACCCAAGTGGTTGGAGAATAGTTATTAAGCAAGCTTTCGGGTTTAAGCCAAGAGGTGCTGTATTATGCCTTTAGGAACAGATTCAAGCAATCCTGGCTGAGACATATCAAGTTGAGCATCGGTCGTAGCCTAGACAGCCGAAACCCATACTTGCAAACTAATGCACCTTGTCCTTGCATGTCTGAGGCTGTTGTGAGCGTGAGAAGAAGGCACCCCACAGCAGCCGACACAAGAAAGAAGAGTAATGGCCAAGCCCAACACTCTGCAACTTGATGAGAGATGGGAAGAAATCTACTTACAGCCTCCGCAGGTCTACAGACAGGTCTCTAGCATCTCATGGTCATCGGTCATTTTATCACCATAGAAACTGAATCTTCTTCCTACGGCCTCTGTGCAGGTCACAGGCTGATCAGGGCAGAGAGGTTGGAGTGAAGGCCGTGGGAATTACCTTTCAGATAATCTTAGCCGTGGAAAGGAAGTTAACAAAACTGCATTTCATTAGCATGGGCAGCACAGCTTCCAACAGAAAGGTGCTGCCAGTCTGCATGAATACGGGGCTGGCAGGTCTTCCCTGGCCCTCACTGTCCAGAAGGATGTAAATCCAGGGCGCAAGTTGTGCCATTAAATTAATCATCATCTCTCCAAGAACCGGAAAATTCTTACTGGCCAAAACTCAACTAGAGGTGATTTGGGTAAATCTGATATCTTTTAATAGACCAACTCAAATAGTTGGTCTAATAAAAGATATCACATTTACCCAAAGAACCTTGACTGCCTGGTCCTTAGACCAACACGGCTACGACCTACACCTCTAGCAGTGATTTGGCATTTATTCTTTCCCAGACACTTACCCGACCTCTGTGGGCACAGGTATAATCCTCACGAAGACGGGAGTTCAGATAAGCCACTATTAGCTTTGCTGCCCCTCACTCAAACCAGACCTAAGAACTGAGATTTCTTAGGGGCCTTTATGGTTTGAGCCACCTAAGTTTCACTGGTACACGTACACTGGGGCTGTATCTTTCAGCCACAAAGTTGCTGCTATTTAAGGACTTATTTAATCCATGTAAACCGTGGACCCTTAACACCTCTGTCTCCTGAGAGGGAGCTGCAGTTGAAACCCATAGAACTGATTTGAAATAATCCGGTCTTGGCTTTCATTGCTTGTAATATTTAGCAAGCAGCGCTCCCCTCCTGTGCTGTCCTGGCTTGGATTGCAGATGTGTGCTGCTGCAAGCGGCAGACGTGAAAAGCAAAAAACCCCCCAGAAGATTTGACATGACTCCATCATATTTTATGCATTGTGGTGAAAATGTTCACATTTTTCCTATACTTCATCTTCTTTCTCCCAGTCCCTATTAAATGCATGTGAGCTTTGAGTTGAGCGTGAACAGCTGATCCCGATCAGAAAGCCCATCTGTCTGTCAAGCATTTATCCTATTCAAAAACTGTACTTTCCTGTAGCTCGATGTTGCTGATAACAGCATATCTTTACAAATGCTAAAGACTTCTAAACATGCAACTCCTCGAGGAGAAGATTACTAGACGTACCAAGCCAAGACAGGTTCGGGAGCAGTCCAGCATTGGATTACCTTTGGGCTGTATAAATATCTTCTGTTGTATACACCATTGTGCATTTGCTCGGAAAAGAAATGGCCATAAATATGTATGTGTATATAAAAACTCAAGCTGGCTCCCAGCTTTTGGGATTACAAGAAACATCCCTCGGCTTTTGCAGGGATATCCAGAAATCTACTTGCTCTTTCTGTACCGAGGCAAATGTGGAGGGTACTGCAGCACAGCAGAAATCAAGCCGGGCTCATTCATTTCTTTCACCGCAATTAAAATTCTTGAACTGCATCAAGATAGTTCCATCGTTGCTCTGCCCGGGCTCGGCACTGCATGCGCGCAAGAGGGAACTCTTCACGTCCCGCTGGCAGCCCCTCGGCTTTCTGTTTACATTCCAGCTCTCCTGAGCTCATCGGCAGCAACGAAATACGTCCCTAAAAACACCCTATCGCGCACCAAAAAATGCAGTGTTTTGATTGACTTCGGTGACCACAGAATACCGTTCATACAAAAATGCATGAGCCTCTCTGTAACCCTGTCTGCCTTAGACGATCAAATTGGTGAAGGTGCATTTATCAATGCAAAGAGCCTGCTTCCTCTCATCGGTTGAGGTGCTTACGGGGGTGTGAGATGCCTGCAGCGCGGGTCTATTAGAAGTAGTCGCTCCGGGCTGCATAATGACTTGCCCGAAACGTCTGTGCAAGGGGAGTTAGTGGCTACGTGGATGTTGGGCCTGGGTGCCTGGAGGTAAATGCATTGAACACCTAAATGCGTCCTCCCTCAAAAGTAGGTGACCAGAAATGAATGCAGCGTGGCAAAGGAAGGGCTGGTTGTTGTTGGCTCCCGATGTATTAATCGCAGGGCAGCTGAGGCATTGCAAGGGGTGCGAGGTTCAGGCTAGTAGAGCCAGCAGCAAGCTGCCCCAGAGCAAGAAGGAATTTGGCCTCAAAGGGTGTCTGAAGCACATTCAGGTCCCTGAAGGGTGATGACAGAGAGGATGGAGATGGGCTTCTCTCTGTGGGCAGGGGAGAGGACTAGGAGCAGCGGCTTGCAGCTTTAGCAGGAGAAATCTAGGCTGGAGATAAGGCTTTAAGGGTGGTCAAGCCACGGGACAGGCTGCCTAGAGACACCGCGGGATCTCCATCCTTGAAAGGGATTGAGACATTTGGCAGGGATGATCTTGCCTTGAGCAGGGGGCTGGATTAGATGAGGTCCCTTCAAGCCCCATTTTCATAGGACTTGGGGAAGGGAAAGATGCGTCTCGCATGGTCCCATGCTCAGGGCTGTTGGTTTAAAGACATGGTCAGACCACTTGCCTTTCAAACCCCATGAGGTGTGAGCCCCAATGGTCACATGTTTGCAGTGTTTTCCATCCCCAGGTTGGGGTGTCCTTCAACCAGGGAGAGATCCAGTATTGGGGCTCCTTGCTGTTGAGCTCGAGCGCTCCCTTTCCTACCCTCCACCCCTTGCAACACCGGTAGCTCCACCAGATAGGTAGGAGAGTGCCACAGAGATCTTGTGAAGTCCAGGTGATGACTGCGGCACACGGTCTGGTCATGAAGACCAGATTGAATAGATGGGACATCCATCTGCTAATCCTGGTAGAGCACCAGTCAATATTCAGAAGGAGCTGGCTCGCTCTTACACTGCTTGTGAGCGGGAGGATATTAGGGGGGACTCCTTTTGTTAGATGCTCCTGGCAGCTGTGGCTCCACAAACAACTTTCTCATAACTTTGCTTATCCTGGGCAAGGATGGCTCTGCAGCATAGATGCTCCTAGAAATGGTATCAGTGCTCAAAAGGGTTAAGCCCCTGAAGCCTGCGGATGGGCTGGAGAGCAGAAACAGGTGTCTTCCTTCAGATTTGCACAGCTGTGACCTTTTCCACCCTCAACAAGCGGGTTTAAAAATAGTTCAAGCCCGGGTCAGCCAGCAGTCTAGTGGCGTGTCCCACGCCGGGGAGCCGAGGGCAGCACTCGAACTCGGTCCCTCGATGCGCAGGCTGGTACGGGGTGAGAAATGAATGGTAGCTCAGTTTGTGGGCCAGGGATGTCGCCCTGCTGCATTATGAAGGTTTCCTGGCAAAGGGAGAAGTCTGCAAATGCAGAGCACTCGTATCTCTCCCTTTCTTCAGCGAAAGAAAGGATCAGACGTGCGAGCTGGGACTTGTGCACCCCTGTAAATCTGCTTCCCCCTTACTTATCACCTCCGGTCCAGTACCCCATGGGCTCATGGGGGCAGCTCGGCCCTTATGGAGCGGATGCAGCTGCCTGACAAAAGACATGCCGAGCAGGACGTATATTAAGACTCCAACCCCTGGACAGTGTTTCCCCCACATCTGTCCTCCTGATGCGGGTTCAGAATAGACCCGCACTTAGCACCCACGTGGCTTTGCCCGTCAAGCAAAGTAAGGGATGTCCCCGGTCCCAGATGTTGCCCCACTCCCCCATTCGCTCGGATTGATGAGATGTGTTTTCTTTTTCTCCGACATCAGGATTCTGCGACACCTTCAACATCGACACCAAAAGGCCCAAGATCATACCGGGCTCCAAAGAAGCGTATTTCGGCTACACGGTGCAGCAGCATGACATCGCTGGGAAGAAATGGTAAGCGAGCGTCAGCGGTGGCAAAGCGCTGCCATGGTTTTCTCCAAGAACCGCGGGGTTGAAAGACGGCTCGCGGGGCATCCAGCCCGTGCCCCAGTGTGCGTGGTGTCATCCTCGTAACCAGTCCAGGCACCGTGCTTGTCCCCTCTCTCTGCTGCCGTTGCTTTGGAGGAGGCGGCTTTGGGAAATCTGGTTGTAGAGACTGTTGCTCTCCAACAACTATTCCAATGGAGACAGGAAAGCTGACTTGCTGACAGTATGTCATTAAACCTGAAAGTCAAGCTGTTGCTCTCTGTCTGGTTGGTCTGGATCCAGAGGAAGCTCTCTGGGGTTTTGCCTTGCTGTACCAGAGCCCAGAACTGAATCCATAAGGAGGCATTTGCTCGGAGTGAGGGTCTATTTAATCTTTGCAATCTCAGTGGCTGCAATGCAGGGCCAGGAGCCTGGTGCCTGCACAGACCTTTGCTGAACCCAAACTCCTCCAGGACACAGGGGTGAAGCAAGGAGGGGACTGCTTACGGCACCGGGCTGTGAGGCTTCGCTCTTTGTTGTTCCCGAGCATTGTTGAAGTCCAAGGTACCGCCGAAGGGGGACATGATTATCGTGGGAGGGTCTCTCACAGAGACCTTCTTCTCGAACCACAGGAAGCAGCTGCAGCAGTGTCTGGACCCTGCAATGCTGACGTGTTTTGCATGGTCGCTGGGCAAAGCAGGGCGGGTTCAGCTCCCATGAACATGACCTTGACTTCCCTCCAGGCAACTTCACCCTCCCTTTAGCGCCATATCCCCCACTGCGCACGGAGGATCCCATCTTCTTGCTGCACCCTTCCCTGCTTCCTACACCCCTAAGCTCTGTCTCAATCCCCCCAACACAGTCCCCGTACTTCTTCATGCCTCACCTACCCATCCCCTGGCCTCCTTGCCAACCCGTAAGCATCTACGCTGCCTGATCCCTGGTCCAGTGCATCTTAAACCTGAGCCAGTTTCTTGCTCCCAGGTGCTCTCCGTGGGCCACGCTTCCAGAGCCTCCTTTTCCGGGTGGTGAAAAAAATCCATGTTTTAGTCCTTAATTAGGCAGCCACCTGTTCCTACCCACCTGTTCTTGTGTCAGCCCAGCCCTTTCAGCTTTCACTGCTCCTCTCCCTCCGTGCTGCACGCGCAGTAGTCACAGTCCCGCTCAGCCTTGCTTGCTGCCTTGCGGGGTCTCTCTGTGGCCCAGCGCGTTGGGGGGACTTCACCTGGACAGAGCACCGCACGAATGTGGTTATATCACTTCTGGTGCCAGAATGAGCTCACAACTAGCTCGGCCATCTGTGCACGGCCCTGATGTACTGTGCAGATGTACACCTGTGTCTCCATTTACCATCATCCTGGGAGCCCTCCCCTGACCGTAAAGACACCTGCCCATAACACGTGGCCAGACCTCTCATAGCATCATAGACAAGGAGGGTTGAGGGGACCTCAGAAGGTCACATCTAGTCCAACCCTGCTCACAGCAGGACCAGCCCCACCTACATCATCCCAGATGAGGCTTTGTCTACCTGGGTCTTAAACACCTGCAAGGATGGAGATTCCCCGACCTCTCTACGTAACCTCTCCCGCTTTACTACACACCTCCAGTGCTTCACCACACTCGTAGTGAGAAAGATTTTCCTAATATCCAACCTCAACTTCCCTTGCTGCAACTTGAGCCCATTGCTCCTTCGGTCATCTGCCCCCACTGAGAACAGCCCAGCTCCATCCTCTTTGCAGCCCCCCAGCAGGGAGGTGAAGGCTGCTATTCAATCCCCCTCCGTCTTCTCTTCTGCAGACTAATTTGGGCTCCACAATTCAAAAAGGATGTGGAGAAGCTTGAGAGAGTCCAGAGAAGAGCCACGCGCATGATCAGAGGTCAGGGAAGCAGACCCTACGATGACAGGCTGAGAGCCCTGGGGCTCTTTAGCCTGAAAAAGCGCAGGCTCAGGGGTGATCTGATGGCCACCTACAAGTTAATCAGGGGTGACCACGGGGGAATGTCTGTTCACCAGGGCGCCCCAAGGGATGACGAGGTCGAATGGTCACAAACTACTTCAAGATCGTTTCAGGCTGGACATAAGGAAGAACTTCTTTACTGTCCGAGCCCCCAAGGTCTGGAACAGCCTGCCACCGGAGGTGGTTCAAGCACCTTCATTGAACACCTTCAAGATGAAACTGGATGCTTATCTTGCTGGGATCCTATGACCCCAGCTGACTTCCTGTCCTTTGGGCGGGGGGCTGGACTCGATGATCTTCCGAGGTCCCTTCCAGCCCTGATGTCTATGAAATCTATGAAATCATCCCCATTCCCTTGGCCTCTCCTCACCAGTCCTGTCCCCCAGCCCCACAACCATTTTCATCACCTTCCTCTGGCCTCTTTCCAATGTGTCCACATACTTTCTGTAGTGGGGGCCCACAACTGGACTCAGTACTCCAGATGTGGCCTCCCCGGTGCTGAATCGAGGAGAATAATCATTTCCCTTGACCTTCTGGCACCGCTCCTACCAATGCAGCCCAGTATACCATTAGCCTTCTTGGCAACCAGGGTACACTGCTGGCTCGTGTTCAGCTCCTTGTCCCCTGCAACCCACTGTAACTCTCCTGGATTCCCTGCTACGGCGTGGCCTGGCGTGGCTCCGTCATTTTAGACTCCACCAAGCTGCTTTTGTGTCCAGCAATTCATGCACATCCAGACAGCCACGGTGCGGTGCCTTAGCCAGACTTCCCTTTGGATTCCCCTGCTTTTGTCATCGCCGCCCCAACACACTTAGACGTGGTTCCTTTCTTGTTTAATTTAAGGCTCGTGTGATCTGCCCAGACGCACTGTGCTGTGGCCAGGGACGAGGCTGCAGCTGGACGTCTTCCCTGGTTTCTGTAAGGCCAGAGCGATGGCGTGTTCTTCCCAAAAACTGCTGTGTCCCACTTTAATTACAGCCTGAGCTGCTGGCACTGGGAGGGGAGGGAAAAAAGGCTCATTATAAACAGCACAGGGCAAATCTGTGTTAACTGAGAGGGGGAAAGGCCCAAATCTGAGCAAAGGGAAGCCACTTGCAGCTCTGGAGCACCTCGCTGGGAGGGTTTGCTCACAGAGAGCTTAGCGGGGAATAAAGCTGTGGAGTTTCTGCTCTGAGGGTCCTAGCTTCCCTTCGCCTCTCACGGCTGGGCCGCGGGTTGAGCTGGCTATCAAATCTAGATCCAGAGAATTAAACCCACCTTCCCTTGGAGCATTTGCCCCTGTGGGCTGGTTGGGAATCTGGAAGGTAGCATGTTGGCTGTGGCAGGTTGTAAAGACAAATATATATTTAAAGGTGTCCGTTGAACTTCAGTCATCGCTACGACTTTGCAAACGGAGGGTCTGGGCACTTTCCCGCTGGACCCCAGATTGGCTTTTGTCCTAGGCTGACATTTGCATCACTGACTTGTGATTTTATTTTTTGCATGCCAGCTTGAAGGGCCTTACAGACCTGATCTCCAGAGAGCGGCTGCTCTGTCCCTTCTCAAAGCATAGCCTGCAAGAGTTCACCTCAAAGAGGTGGCCTGATTTTTCAGCACTGCAAAGTACCCTTCAAGTCCCTGGCAGGGGCACTGAATCTGGGGTGATGGGCACCTCCAGCCCTACCCCTGGGCATGAAGGGCCTGTCTCTTTTTCCTGCTTTTTTGTCTCACTTTATGGATTGTGAGAAAATCCCTTTCCAACTTGAGGCCTTTTTTCCATCTGGGACAGCAGTGACTTGCACATCCCTAGCAGACGCTCCAAGTGCTTCATTTAAGCGATCGTCCACCGCTTCTGTCTGCTGGCTGCCAGCACGAGGCAATGCAAGCAAATGAATGGAGCAGAGCTGAGTGCTGCCAGCTGTTGCTGTTTGCTGACGACCAGTAAGTGAAATCTCAGTCTCCTTGGGGTCCAGCGAATGCAGAACCTGCTAAACCAGCTCACGCTGGCTGTTCAGTTCGTTTGTTAACCGCATGCTTGAAATGAGTCGTATATTGGGGGGCAGTCGCTGAGGACCCTCAATAGCATTTCCCGGGAGTTTTGGTGACATTTGCAATGGCTCAGAGCAGTCAGGGGTGTTTGCACTTGGAGTCTGTGTTACCAGACCGCTTCTGAAGCCGGCGTTGCGCTCGGAGCTGTTTGCAGAGGGGGAAATTCAACCTGTGGATGGACTCTCTAAGAGTTGCATTCTCTGATGGTTTGGGATTTGTTCTGTGATTTGGAGGTTTGAGCCACCTTAGCTGATTGGGTCAGGGAAATTTCAAAGAGGTAGCACCAAAGGATGGATCCAGGTATCTACCCCCAGATCCTTGCATATGCATATGAATAAGGGTCCGTACTCAGTGGCCTCTTTCCCCAGCACAAGTCCTGGGGAAGCCTGTCCGTGTGAGCGCTCATAAGAAAGCCAAGACTGTGAAATGGTCAAATGGGCACCACGAATGACTTGGTACTAGCAGCACGGCTCATGTTGTGGAGCATGCAGGGGCTGACTGCTGTCACTACAACATTGTGCACGTAACACCTTCTAGTGACCTTGCTGCCACGTGCAGGAGCTCTGCTTCAGTCCCAATGTCACCAGCATTTACTTAGCCATCATCTCAGGAAACCTGATTTGAGCTAGGCTCAGATGCCCTGCAGTTCAGTGTCCAGCATTCAAACAGGTTCCTTCTTGCCTGTTTCTGATGAAGCCAAACCTGAGTCTGGTTCACAGCCTGTCATTTATTTAACCACCCCGGTCTCCTTCTGTAAGCGAGCCAGCAATGCTAATAAAACTTAGAAGCATGATCCACCTCTGGCAGGACACAGCAATCCACTGCACACTGCTGATCTTTGATCATGATTTAAGTCCTCATGATTGATACCCAAATGATGTATGGCTAGCTATTGCACCTCCGACTACAGCTCTCTGTCATTGCTGGGTGTACCCCCAGCTTTGCAGGAGAATGCAGCAAGGGTTTTTTTGTATAGGGAGAATTAAAAAAGCACCTGACTTG